CTAGGTGAACCTTGCAGATCGTAGAAATTCAAGGAGCAGGTGACTGACATTGCATTCATTAGATGAAGGTACGCTGGTCTTCACCCCTCCAGTGAGTGCCAAGATGGCACTCGGCCTTGTCGAAGAAATCAGAACCCGCGTGCCTCTCAACACCGATGTTCCATGACGAGTGTGGGACACGGCGCGATAACCCTCATGCTACTGCACAAGCACGGCACCACAGGACGCCATCGGTAGCCACACAGGCAGCTGTTCGAAATCTATACCTATTGGGCCTAAATGTAACAGGAATCAAATGCAAACATTTAGCAATGGTAACTCGATAAGGCTTCAGAGGACCATGCGCTCGCTCGGGTGAACCTCGAGAAACCGCAAGATCCACGGTCCAAAAATCCCCCCCATTTGAAATACAGGCTGTAGCTATAACTGGCAGAAATCCTTGCAAGAACATCTGGAACGGGTTTCCTTCAGTGGGAGGATCGTTTATCGTTATGCGGCCAGCAAGAGCAAAGTGTCAAGCATTCTTTAAACTCTCCAGAACTCTCCGGAACAAATGTAAATTAGGGCTTACTGCATGCGAGGCCTCCTCTTGTCATGGTAATAGGAATGATTTTTTTCCAGGCCTGGGCAGCACATATTAATTGCAACACTGGACTTGTGAGTAAGATTTGGCTTAACCCCAAGAAACAAAATGTACTTGAATGCCATCCAGCAGAATTTAACTGCAGTGCAAATCATGTTCATCTGTCTCTCAGCTTTCCAGCTCGCAAGGAAACTATGTCAGTAGTAACATTCCCCATTGCCACTGGCCTCTACTTTTCTGTAGCAGGCATTTTAATTGTCTGTTGCCAAATATAAGCTAAATAGTACAGGACATAGCTTCCATCTAATGTCACAATTATCACATATAAGAGCGGATCCACACACAAATCGGGTGAGCAGTTCAATTCATGGTCGATTTGAAAAGACATTTTCATTTTGTTGATTTCCTTCCGTAGGTGCATACAATCTGGCATCATTAAAATTTGAATCTACCATTAGAGGTTGAATTTTATTACTGGATTAGCAGTATAATATTTTGGCCGTCATATCAGTATATTAAATACATAGCCTTTGAGTTTCTGTTCAGGATTTCAGTTCACAGTATTTATAACTTCGATAAATATATGTCTAAATAAATGCTAATAATTGCATAGTGTATGAAATTGCATTGATGGTTAATACTGCATGTACATTTGTTGGTACCATTGTTTGGTTGAATAATTATCCTACATTTAGAACAATTCAACGAAGAGGAATGAACGGGACGTGGAATATAAACTATCAAAGCACGCGACCGCAGCGTTGTCTGTGCGAGAGAACCGCATCTTTGCATGACGAAGGCAGCGATAGTTCAGACCCAAACACGCTCTGGGACTGTGGTAAATCTCCCCTCTTGGCAATTGGTATCGGCCATGGTTCAGCGACGCAGCTATTATTATAATTGCGTGTTTACCCTTTTCCAAGCCCCACTCCCTTCTTTGCCCTGGTTCGGACAGGGCGGGAGGTGCGCTTCCCTCCTGCCAGGAATCTGACCGTTTATTGTACATTCTCATTTCGAGTAACTTATGAGGAGTAGTAGGCGGGTTTGGGGCAGTTTACAGGCTCGCGGACGAGCCGTAAGCGTTAAATATCGTCGCACGGCCTCCCATTTCGTAAAGAGCCCCATTTAACATATTTTAAGAGCATTAGAACAGTTTTTGCTTAGTAAAGCTTCAACAGGGCATCACTCAGTCCACAACCATTTAACAGCTGATTATGAGCCGTCTATTTTAGGAAACATGCACAGTAGGAGAACTTCCGTCGCTATATGGATTGTAGTGTGTTACACTAATTATTAGCTAGCGTGCCAGTTAAACTTTACATGCCAAGAATTCAGAGTTAGATGTGCTCGACATGATAAGACTGGATTTATAAAAAGATTATAAACATTCTCCCCCCAATTTGTAGCTCTGCCTATAGACGAAGCCAGTCTCATCAGTTTGTTTATACAACGTGCATTTACCCTCTGTACAAGCTGAAAAGTTGCGTAACGACCAAAATTCTTCAGACGAGGAAGGGAATGGGGGGACGGAGTGGGGGTTAAAAAATAAATAAATCACACTGACGAGATGACGGTGCCACCTATTGGTCGTGCTCTGCACGTACAGCAAAATATACTTTACATCCTATGTGCATGGAAACGACGATCAATATGGCGTTCCTGAACTCGCAACAGTCAAAATTAACCAGTTTCCGCAGTTTTGATTTAACAAGAGAAGCCCGTTCAATCAGTAAGTCGTTCGCATTGAGCTTTGGCACGTTCTAAAAGCATTTGCTGCATGGATGTTGTGTAGCTCCGCCGTGGTATATATTACTGAAAGTACAGGTGTTATGCCGAAAAAGGCATCCCTGCCGTAGAATGCATGCCTGTCTCTAAATGACTGATTGGTCGCTGATCTGAAACGAGTTGAGCTACTTTGTCGAGTAAGGCTACCGTAGTGCTAATCAATAGCCCCAAAAAATCCGTAAAACTCTAACCCTAACCCCCAAAAAACCTCTAAAACCCTAACCCCCAAAACCCCCCTAAAACCCTAACCCCTAAAAAACCATTAAAAGCTCAACTCGTCGGAACACCGGCATGCATTCTAAGGCAGGGATGCCTTTTTCGGCATAACACCTGCATGTGAGGTGGTGTTTGTACCTTTCTGGCATCCACTAGAGATACTTTTCGTATCTCTCCAGTGCAGTCAAAACTTTGGAATATGTTATTTAGTTCTTGCTTCAATACCGCGTACACTCGGGCATTCTCTGGAACTCAGCCTAATTGCACTTATGCCGTAATCGACTCCTTGACAGCCGTATGTTTGTAATGTTCTAGTTTCCTCACTTGTACATTAATTGTTTTGGACAAAAGCATCTGCTAATTAAAAAAAGGAACTCTCGGTTCAACACACTGCTTATTCGAATCCAAGCTGGAACAAAAACCGGTTTACAGGTGTATCCCCTGCAGCCAAGACTGACTACGTACGACTATAGCAGGTAAGCAGTGTTCTGCTTTATCAAACATGAATCATTATCCAGCATTCCCTCAATCGAATAAATGTGTAACATTAAAATCCATCTATTAACCCTTGAAATGTGTTTGAAATGCTTCAGGGTTGTCATTTAGAGTACTAATTTGCCCCCACAAACAATGAGACATATTGTCCACGAAAACATAATTCATAATTGTTTTACCTAAAGTGATTCTGCGCAAGAAATGCTAATAATTCCGTAGTCATGTTTAAAAAGATTAGACTCATTTTAGACGCACAATTTAATTTAAATGTGTCAAAACACATTAATTAGGTATTATATTTTTTCGAAACAGCTTGGGAACACAATGTACAGACACCATTCTACTAAGACATCGAGGAAGCCAGAATAGACAGGCAGCCACGGTGTTTAGCACACGTGTGTGTGGGGCCCCCTGTTGGCCACAAGCGGTCATTACACTAAATTTTAAATACGTTATTTAGTAGATGCTGCAGCAGGATATTCTAACCAGCTAACTACGATCTTCTGACTCTACTCACGAGCCATTTAGTTTTTATATAATCCGAAACAAATAATCCTCCCCTAACATAGAAGATCATTATGGGATGCAGAAAAATCTCAAACGGCTACAGAAGAATTCTCTTTCTATGGAGAAAATTAAAAACTACACAAAGCACACAAACCCAGTAACTTTATTGATGTTGTTGTTACCGGTGCTGCTGAAGGTGGCAGTTAAGAGATCTGGATAAAAATGTTAATATACTGCAAAAATGTCCAAAACAAGAGCAGCCCAATTAGACATGCAGCATGAAAAGAGGAAATGTTGTGGTCTGATGGATGGAATTTGGGTAACAGAATAAAAGTGTCACATTACATGAAAAATCATTAACACCAATGCTGACCTGTGACAGAAAAAAATATCATTGGTTTCATATGCCTGTAGAACACAAACCCAATATTTACAATCTGCATTTGAATATTTTTAAATTGTAATCTGTGAGCAGCTAAGGAAATATCTTGCATAGCAGAAGCATTGAACCGACATATCAGTGAAGCATTGATAAAATTACTAAAGTATGGCTAACAAAAATGTAATATCTTGTAAATGCTGAATTGTTACAGCAAACAACCCCATTCCTTCACAATGTTACATTGTTGTAAAGACATGCTGACAATCAATCAGTACCCCTAACCTTTTGACACCAGTCCTGCCCCAGCGACAAGAACACCATTTTTACCAAGTAAATTAACTGACTTTACTGGTATTAAATCAAGATGTCTACCTACCATACAAAAGAGCCTATTGTAAACATGTTCTTTTCTAGAAATCAAAGCAAGATCACAGCACTGATCTTTTCTGTTACATGCGTTGCTTGGCATTCCTGTACAGATTTGCCAGTTCTGCTTGAGCCTGGTTAGTGTCTCATTTTGTTTGACCAGGAAAACTTAGCTTTATTTGAAGTGTCAGCATAGGAAAGGTAATTAAAATTCCTTAATACCCAGACCATCCACCCCACTTGGTCAGGGTCATGGGGGGTGGGGGGGGGGTGGGACCTATAAAAATTCTATGAAGCATAAATCATAGGGAAGGCCACTGTATAAAATATAATTACATTGAAAATGAAATTACAATTTCTCCAGAATGTCATCTCTAAAGATCACTCACCCTTTTATAAGTGTACACTTAACAGCATCATGTTGGGTCTCTCCTGTCTTCAAGTCATCCTTTTGATCAACACGTCCTTTATCCCGACTGGACATGGATATGCAATTTATATGCACTCGTAGCTATGGTAACTTTTCTGGTCAAGAGTCGCAACTGACGACTTCCAAAGTAAAATCTAGGGAGATGACGTGACTGAACTTCTGTACAAAACACCTGCAGGAAATGTTTGTTTTTGCACTATCCCATCCCAGCACACAAACAAAATCAACGAAAAAGATTAAGATTCTTGCCATGCTTTTTATTTTTAGTGTTATGCAACTTTAGAAGTATAAATATCTGTTTAATATACATCTATGACATCCACAGAGCTTTCCATGGGTGAAATACAAAATGCAAACACTTTTATTGCACATATCCTAAAGACAAATCTTAAGCATTTATGTCTAATACTTAGTTCACAGGGGAAGGAAAAAAAAATAAACAAAACAAAAAAAAAAATGCGAAAGCCATCGAGAACTCGACAAACTGTTTACACAGACTTGAACTGGCTATCATATAGGACAACAGTCTTTTACAGCAGGGAAGATGAGGCAAACACTACACTATTACCATATACAATCTGTGATGCAGCACACAGTTTTGGCAAATGAATAAAGACAATATATAAAATATACATCCATGAAGCATCTGTAAACAGACAATGTGCTTTTAGGGTTCAAACTGGTCAGCTTTGTAGGAGGTGCCATGGAAGTGCTCCATTGCTCAAACGTCTGCGATTCATCTATGTATGCTGCTTTCCTGTGTTTTTCCTAAATTGATGTTTATTCTTAAAATGTTGAACTCCATGTAGCTGGGGGGCGTGGTGGTGGTGGTGGTGAGTGTTAAGGTGCATTTTGTCCCCAGCCTTTTAGAATACAAGTTGTAAAACGTAAAGATATCCTAACTTCTGTCCAATGAAACGAACAGTAAAATGGATCTTAATATCAAATTTTAAAATGCCTGTAATCACCGAATGGTATTTATACATTGTGCATACCTATGCTATTTTTCTCTGGTTGGACAGTATATATATATATATATTCTAAGACACAGTAAATATTTAGTTGTTAAAGAAAGCACTATAATGTATAAATGTTTACGTTATCTTACTATTTGGCTGAGGATAAAGGTTTACGACACCAAAGTTTCATATTACCCCCCTAAAGCCTTGAAGGATAACTAATTCATTTTTTTTTTTTGCAATCAGTGACATCCATCATGAGAAATAAAAAAACAACCTACTCTACACAGGACATCACATGTATCATGTTTAAAGGGGAAAAAGCCAGAGATGTTCATTTTCTAGCTGGTTTACAGAGAATCGTTACACTTGGGTTGACAAAATGAGCTTTAAAAAAAATAGCACAAATATAAACTTGGAACGCTTGTCATCGCTTACCCAACCCTGTGTGCATGTCAGAGGCTGAGGACAGGACTAAAATGTGTCTAAAAATGTTACATTATTTATAATATAACTAGACAAAGGAAACTGATTTTATTACCCCGTTAACTTGTATCTTAAACTACAAGTGTGCCGCTATCAAGGAAGGTTACATGTACTGCATGCGTATTCTTTTCTCTAGACCAAGAGCAGTTAACAGTTTGCACTGAGCAAAAAAACAATAATAATAATAATTATCCACATTGTCGGAGTTCTGTAACAAAACTTTGGCTCCCCCCAGCAATATTGCATTTCAGGAATTAAAGAACACGTGGACGGACGAAAAAGGTTCAACTCTCCTGTCTGATTGTCCTGCCAGTTCTGAACGCCTCTACACAGGCCTTTTACGCACATGCCAAAAATTAGAAGTGCACTACAGAAGCTGGTCATTTTATTCTTATATATTTTTTTGTATATGCTTTGGAGCAAGCGCGCTACCCTCCCCGACCCCCAAATACTTTAGAATAGGAAAAAAATGATTTCCCAGAAGCATTTCCTACAATTTAATTTGAAATTGCAAATAAAATCTGCAGTCCCACAGTATTACACAGTGTTTTGTGGAGACGTTTAGGGCGACAACAGCAGGGGTTATAGTAAAGACACTTCCAAAATGGGTATCATTATACATTACAGTGCTAACAGGGCAACATCCTGGCAAATCTCTTTTGACCATTTTATTTCAGAATAGCACACTTGTTTTTCGAGGTGCGATCAAATGACTTATCCTTTTATCTGCTGTTAATTTTGCATTGCTTCAAGTAAAAACAGCCCATAGTGTGGTTTTTAGACTTGAGAGATACTTGTCTTGTCCTATGCCTTTCTTAGATATGTGCTGCCTTTAGCTTATTTGAGACGGAACCGCAAAGCCGACAAAAACAATACCAAACTAATTACAGATCTTGAAGTATACAAACATATAACCTAATAAAATATATACATATAAAACAAACACTCATGTTTGAAGCCCATTACTCCCATTTTTTTACAGTTTTGTCATATTTACAGTATTTTGCATAAAAATTAAACTTCTAGAAATGTAAAGAGATGTATGTGAAAGGAATGTGATTTTCACCCAAACCTGCTAAAAACAGCAGGTTTAATACCCACAAAAGCATAAGGCCCCTTCCAATAGATACGACTCAATGAAACTTCAGAACCATATCTAATAGTTCTAGGTTAGAAGCACAGTACTCAGTGCATGCCTTCTGTGCACCACGACCCAAAACAAAACAAAGAAAAGGAAAGTTATGCTCTCCCTCGGAAAATGAAGAAACCAAGAACTCTAACCAACCCTAATAATTTTGGTGACATTCTCTTTCTCCTCCTTTGTTGATTCCTTGGCACATAATCAGTTATTCCTCCCCCTTTACTGACAATGGTACAATGGTTGTGGGGGGGGGGCAGTAGTTTGCAGGCAAATGAGCTGTCAATGAACAGAAACATTACCTTGTTGAATCTAACCAGATCGAACCTTTCCTAGCCTGCAGATACACAGTTCTTAGGTTCGGGGGTCTTGATCACTATAATTGGCACTGAAGCTAATCAGAACTGCCCGACTTGGCAGAAAGTGTTCTAAGAGTGAAAAGCCTTCCCGAAACACCCCTGGCATACTGATTGCACAAACCTCTACTGTCAACGAAAATAAACCATGTACCCTCTTCCAAAAATACCAATTTTACTTTTTTTTCCCCTCAACTGAAGAGTACTTCTTATGACTACAGAGCAAGAAACATTTAAAAATAAAATATTTTGGTGAATTATTGAAATCAGCAGCAAATTAGGATACTTACATTCAATCTTACATTTCATATTCTTTGTGGATCGTTTTCAGTGCAAATCTCTTACACACACATGGACACACGCAGACGACACCAGCATGATAAACCAGCCCAATGCACACAGACGCACATGGACACGCCTCCATCCCATGCTGTTGAAACACTGCGGTAACAGCTTCGCCGGTTCTCAAAAGTAGAAGGCATGTGGAATGAAACAGTTTTTCAAATTAAAAATGATACTGTGTACCAAACAGAAACTGCTAGCCTTGCTTCCCGCCTCACAAGGCCTCTGGCATCTCCTATGACCTTTTGTGGGAAGAGCCACGTACTGGGTCCTTGGTCGCCTTGCATCGGGCAGAAGAATCCTTTTCTGAAGGAGCACCATCACTTGCAGGAGCCACTGTCTTTGTTACATCTTTGCGACCACTTTTCACCACAGATGTCTGCTCTGGAACACTTTCTTTTCTCTTACTTTCACATGGGTCTTGCCTTGTGGAAACCGGTTTCTCCGAATTTCTGGGCCGGGTTTCAGACACTGAGCATTTCACTTCATTTTTCACCACAGCATTGGGCCCAGTAGCGTCGGCTGGCTGACTCTGCAGCTCCTGCCTTGCCACTTGTGGGCGCTGCTTCCCCTGCTCCTCTCTACGAACAGGCACAGTCCTCTCATCCTGGCTGCTGATACCGACTTTGCCCGAAAGAGGTTCTTTGTGACTTGGTGCTTCCTTCCTCGTCTCTGCTGGAATGGGCAACACAGGAGGAGAAGCACTAGAAGGGGAGGTCACAGGAACGCTGCTGTGCTTTGCTGGGTCTTTTGGAGTCTGCAGTCTCGTGCTAAGAGGAGCTTGTTCTTTTGGTTTCAAACTTGGGCTTTCCTTAACCGGTGGCTCTGAAATCTTCCCCTCACACTTATTCCCTAAATTCTCCTCTGCTTTGTTAGCTGAACGTGAAACAGGCACAGTCTCCGCTCTTGCCTTACTTTTGAGGGTTGGTTGGAGGTTGGGGGGAGCTTGTTTTCCAGCAGCCATGCCAGATTGTGACAACTTCCCCGTGTGTATGGAGCTGGACATTAGTTCTGCTTTGACTTCGCTGTGCTTCTTCATACTAGGGTTCTCGGTCTTACTGGCAAACTGCTTCAGCTGAACCTTCTCCGCTCCTCTATGCTTCTGTGACTCTTGTTCAGGCGCTACAGTCTTAGCCATTTCGCACTTCGTTTTTGGCGCCCCAGGACCAGAGTTCTGCTTCGGCATGATGCTCATGACCAGCTGGCTGCCCAAGGCAGCTTCTAACTTCTTTGGATCACACCCCTGTACGGCATCCATTTTTACAACCTTCGTTTTACTGTCTTTCATTTCTCCTTTCGGATCAGCCTCTCGGGCTTCAGCCACTTTGTCTGCAACACACTTGGGGCTCCTGATGTCCTTCCCACCTGACACATTGACAGAAACACTGCTTTCTTTTGAAGGGGTAGAGTCTGCCTGAATCTTCTCTGTGCTCTGAACTTTGGTGGTGCGGGGCTGCTCAGGTGGATTCTGACCAGCAAGCCGGACAGTATCTGTAGAACTAATGGTCGAAACTGAGGAGGAGCGTTGTGACGTGCCGGGCTTGGCAAGGCCACCTACTGTTTTGTGTTTCGGCTGCTCTGATGACTGCTCGGCAGCTGATCGTTTCACACTGCTGCTGCCATGTGATACCGCAGTCAACTGGGAGCTCTGTGATGCAGACTGCTGATCTCTTTCAGCACATTTCTGACCTTGGTCAACCAATTTTGTAGCAGTACTCTGCTGGACTGGCTCTGGCTGCTGAAGAACAGCTGTTGTTTCAGTCGGGCAAGTGACTTTTGGCACTACCTTTTCGGCAGAAACCGTCTGTTTGGGACTTTCTGGCTTAGAACTTTTGGGTATGGGGGACTGGCTTGCAGCATCCCCAGATTTGCCAGTCTTGAAAGGCAGCGTTTGCTGAGGTTTCTCTGGCTCATCCTCCTGATCTTCATTGCTGGCCTCTCTGATTGAAGGGGTTCTTCCACATGATGTATGCGTAATGGGGCGCGCAGCCCTCAAATCATGTACCAGAGCTGGACTGGCTTTTATGTTAAACTTTCCATTGGACTCTGAAACCTCCGTCTTAGTTGCTCGACTAAAGTCTGCAGACTGGGGTTTGTCACTTGAGCTGCTGGATTGTACCGCTGCTTGCACAATGTTGACTTTTTCAGTGGTGAACTCTTCCTTGATGACATTCTTACAACCGAGCAATGCCGAGGTTCCTTGGCTCGCCGCACCAAAGGTACCCCTCTGTCTCTCAGAGGATTTCTGTTGCTGGGCTGGGATTGGCTTCTCCTCACGACTCAGCTGCCCCTCTGGGCCCCCAGAAGCTATGCCGCTACTTTGACTGTCTGCCATTCTGGAAAGACAGGTGTCGGTTTTGGAAGCCCTCGGCCCGGAGAGCATACCGATGTCCAAGGTGCCCTCCAGCGGTCTTAATGATGACATAAGACGGCCTTCCAGTTTGTACTCTGAGGTGGTTTTCCGAATTGGGCCCTCTGTAGACGAGATCATCTGGAGCTTTTCCACGGCGCTCTCGCCCCTGCTGCAAAGCAGCTTGGGGGCTAGTGCCTCGGTGCCAATGCACGGACCCGTAAGCACAGCACTTCCTGGGCCCAGGACAATGCCGGAGTCCAGCTGCAGGCTTTTGGATCTCGTGGCAGTGAGATGGAGGCCCTCGTGAATGGTGGGAGGGCCCCTGCACATACAGTCCTCCCTCTCTTCAAAGGATTGCTTCTTCCTAACAAACTCTATGTTAGGTGCTTTGAAATCAGACCTCTCAGGTTTGCCTCCCTCTTTGACCTGCCTACACAGCTGCCTTTCTGCTTTCTGGGAGCTCCATTCTTGAAGGCCAGAAGTGGAGGGAGACCTGATACCCTCGCTGATGATGGACACAGAGTCGCTGCCCTTTCCTGACAGGTCAATTATGCCTTCACACACACGTGTGTTTAGTTTCTTGTACAGTGCATCTTTTAGGGTACCACTTGGTGCTTTAGTGTCTAATAGGCATGTTTCTGGGCTGCCCAGGGGTCGCATGCAGCTTGCCTCGGGTTCTGGGACAGTGTCTTGCTTCTGCAGTGAGTCTCGCCTTTCTGGCCAGTCCTGCCGTTTCATCACGACCTTCGCCTTCAGCTTCTCTTTGTCCAGCTCTTCAAGAGACTCCTGCCGGCCAACCTTGCGGGTGATGGGCCGCTTGAGGCAGCCCTGCTCAGCCGGCCGCACTCGCGTGACGGCTGGGGGCTCGCAGGAAGTCTCCTCCACACTCTGCAGGGTGTGGTCCTTGGGGGCCTGCTCCACCTGGGCCTCCTCCTGAGTCACCTCCAGGCTGTGCTTACGTGTACACAAGTGTTTCTTATCACCCACATAGGATGGGGAGAGCTTCTCCTCTGACTGGACCCTTTTGAGGAGAGGCGAGCGGGGGGGCTCTGCGCTTTTGGGCCGTGCCATGTGGCGGACGATGGTGGGGGGAGAGTGCATTTTGGCAGGGAAGGCCTGGGTTGTTTTGGAGCTACCCAGCGAGTGACTGAGCAATGGGGAAGGTGAGCGCTGAGGGGAGGTGGGCTGGGGAGTAGGGGAAGGTGTACGAGCCAAAGGGGACAGCGGGATGCTGCCTGCAGATTTTCGGCGGCCCTGCCGAAGCCGCTGGCCCGGCAGTTTGGGGCCCAGGCCGTGCAGCGTGCTGGGCCGGATGTGGCCGGAGCCCGCGGGCGAATTGGGGCCACTGGAACTGGGAGAGCTGCTCTGGGATGAAGTTCCACCTTCAGCAAAGGCAGGATGAAGGGAGCTCATTATATCATCAAAATTAGCATTGTGTTTCCAATTTCCAATCTAATTGTTTTAAATCTTCTAAACTCAAGACAAAAGACAAGCTTTAAATATTTGATTTTAATATAAATTGCTAATAACTTACTTTGTTTATTGTCTATTAACCAAATAATGTGGATGCTGATAATGGAAAGGCAGCTTAACAGTCACCATCTAATTAACGCACTTGACTGCACGGCGAAAGAGCAGCTCACCGGACTGGTTGAAGTCAGGGGTGGAGCGAAAGGCTGCCGTGGGTGAGCGGGGCGACAGGCTGTGGGTGGGGGAGCCAGGCAGGCTCTCACCAGAGGATAGCGAGCGGTTAAGGGAGGAGAAGCTCCTGCTGGTGTGTAGGAGGGGAGAGGGCTGCATGGTGAAGCGCCGGAGCAGTGACCTCCGCCTGTGGCACAGGAGGGAGGGAGACCCGGCAGCCCGGTTGAAACCCAAGGTCCTCTAAATCATGCCATACATGGGATCCTCACTATAGCTGCAAAACTCTGGGAAATTTCTAAGTTGGAAATTTTCCATGGGAATTAACGGAAATATATATGGAAATTAATGGGAAAGTTAATTGAAATAAACTGGAAATTTGCAAAATTGCAGGTTAGCCTATAACAGGAAAATTCAGTTGAAAAAAACTGAACATTTTGACAGCACTGCTTTACGTCATGTTCTATGTTTCCTTCCATTCAGTTTCCTTTCTTTGCCATATCTTACAGCTCGAATGGAGGTCAATATTTCCAAAATTCCCCAGCTTAACTTCCAATGTGAAATTTCTGGAAAGTTCCTGAAATTTTCTGCCCCTTTGCAACCCTACTTCCCATGGAAAGTTTCCTGAAAGTTTTCAGAAATGTACCAAAAAATTTCTGCCCCCTTGCGACCATAATCTTTGCTTAATCTTTGAAACACATGATTGTAACATAACACTGCAAGTGCATCATGTAAATGACGGCATGGTCAAATCACGAATCGCATAGTTACAGCATTATTATTTTTCAATGGGGATAAAGCTGTTTTAAAATACACAAATTATGAAACCCATGCACATCCCTTGTGTAAATTGAGAGCCCTCTGTAACAGTAAGAGCTCCATCTCAAGCAACGTAATCAGAAGAGTAACTTACAGAGTCAGTCTGACTCGACCAGAACTGGCAGCTACACCACCATCAGCACGAGTCCCAGTTAAATCGATCACTAGCGCCACACCGCTTCATCAGTTAACTCATCAAATGTCATCAACTCATTTGACAAATGGATGGCCTGGGCTTATGATAACACCATGGAAACAAGAGCTACATTAAGTCGGGAGCACCGTCAGTCACAGCTTTTGGTTTTCACGCTTAGAAGTTGCAAGACAGGATCCCACAAGACAGCATCTGTGCACAGTGTGTGTCACAGATGTATTGTCGCAGAGGATTGTTTGTCAATGTGCTGCTAATTCATTTGTTAGTTTGTTTTTTACATGCCAAGTCTAACATAAATCCTAAACTCCACGTCAAAGACAGCTTCACTAGCTTGCACTCTTTAACAACAGAGTACCCTCACACCGAGCGCGTACCTTTCCTGGGTCTTCTCTTTTTTGGGCTTCTTCGTCCTCCGTACCATCTTGCTTCTGTAGCTGTTTCTCCTGGCTGGTCCAGTCTTTATGGTGGTGTTCTCAAATGGGGTTGTCGAAATGGCCACCTTATTCCCACTCTGAGGCCAAGAACAGGTGCTAAATTAATTCATGTTTCAATCAACAAACTTAGACAAAGACTAACAGCACAAACATTTAAAACGAAGAATCTGAAAGGTTAATACCAGGGAAGACAATTTATTCCCATCTGTAAATACTCTATGTAGTCTTCTAACTGCTGGATACATTTGGAAATAAACATGAATCTTACTGCTTCTAAAACAGTGTTTCCCAATCCGGTCCTCTGGGACCCATGGCTGGTCCACGTTTTTGGTCTCTCAGAGGTCCGTACCAGATAGTCGACATTTTTGTTCCCTCCCAGCTCCCAAAAACCTTGACTGTCTGTGAGTTCCTGAGGACCGGACTGGGAAACACTGCTTCTAAAAGGTTGTCGATCTGCCACTGATGTGTGCGTGTGTGTCTGACACTCAGGTCCTGCACCTTCAGCAAGAGCTCCACCACCTCTGTGTGTACCAGGCCATGCACGGACTCCCCGTTGACATGTGTGATGAGGTCACCCGCCTTTAGACCAGCTGAGTGAGCTGGACCACGCTCCTCCACATTCTGAAAGATCAGTGGATCAATCATTAACCCCCATGAGGGTGAATCCATCTCAACAGACATTTACAATTCTTCAATCAATAAGATTCAATAACAGGGTACATACAAAATGGCAGACCAGCTGGACCTCCTTACCCAGACCATGTGGTAGACCGTGTAGACATCACTGTCACAGGCATACACCCGAATGGCCCTCAATGTGAAGCCAAACTTCTTCCCAGAGCTGTGGATGATGATTGGCTGCTGAGGGCTGCTGGTGCACAGCGAGGAATCTCGGCTGGGAGAGGAGTCTCTGGAGGATGGATCCGAGGAAAGCGAATAGGGGGATAGGGGGCTGCAGAGGGGTGATGCCCCAAGCACATCTGGGGGAAAAAAGGACTGGTACATCAATGAGAGCACCAAAAAGGTTTCAAAGGTAGACAGTGTTTAGCTGTCATCTTTACAGAGAAAGTACAGCATTTTCCAAGTGACTAGTACTATTCATCATCTGTGCAGGCTAACATCAAATAAGCACCGACATTTCGCACCCTCCGTATCCCTCTGTATACCCCATCTCATCTCATACACGATTTCTCAGAGACTCAAATCAACTTCCCACAGCATACATTGCACCTCTCATGACTCACCTCCCGGGATCATGAGCGAGAGGGCGCTGGCAGACACAGATTTCGGCACCTTACTGGTGGTTTTCGGTTGCTTCTCTGCCCCTTCGGTAGAATGGGCCCCCAGCTCTGCTGCTGATTTACAGTTATCAGGACTCTCCGCTCCTTCGGCCTGAGAGTGAAGCTGGTCCAGATGTTCTGAGAAGCTGCCTACATGTAGTTAAGTTACAAAAACCAAGGGTAATACCATGAGACTCTGATTTCTGGGACAGTACCCTGAGCCACGGATTTTTGGGACAGTGCCATGAGCATTTCTGAGAGAAGGCTAATACAAGTAACTATTTCACAGCACAAATCTTTTGCAAAATTACACCAACACATAGCACACTGACGCAACCAATGGCTATAAGGTGGATGAATCACCTTTACAGAGACACTACTGAAAGGACTCCACAAGTAGCGGCATACCAGAGAGCGTCGAGCCACTGAGGGCATCTGGCGTGGTGGCATCAGGCTCTTCCTGTGGCGGCCCCCCGATGGTGAAAGTCACCTTGCTAGGGTCTCCTCGTCCAGGGGATTCCTTTTCCTCCTCAGCCGAGATAGCAAACCTGGGGAGCTTACTGAGACTTGTGTTCTGCGTGTCTGACGACTGGGACAAGGAGGGCCTGGGAGCAGAAGGAGAGACAGGCATTATGACAAGAAAAAAGGAAATGTGTTATACAGATAAAATTGAAGTGAACTGAAAAAACGTCACAAAGAGCCAGAGGATGCTAGCATTGTGGACCAGTGTCCAATCGTTCATTTCAAACATGAACAGAAATGGCCATCCATCCATCCATCCATCCATTATCCGCACACCCAGGACAAGGTCATGGGTGGGTGGGGGCATTAATCGGTGGGCTCACATGTCTGTGAAATCTGGCGTCCAGCTAAGAGAGTCTGCATTCACAGGGCTCTCATTAGGCACCTTCTCCTCGAGCTCGCTCTTCTCCTCCAGCTGCCCACGGGATAAGTCCAGGCTGCTGTACACCTACGGCCCCAGTGACCCCCCCCCAGGCATCATTAGGAATTGCACTCAGTCCACACTGGCACTCGAGCTCTGTCTCCAGACCACCACCTGTCTGCCCTCAGACCTCTCTTCACTGCTCCATTGCTGCTAGTGTTTTCTCTACATGTTTGTTTTTTTAAATAAAAAAAACTGAAAAAAATATTCTGCTGCACTGTTAATATTATTTCTGGTCAGCACACAACTAAAACTAGTAGAAATGTTTAAATATCTGAGTAACGAAATCTCTCAGTGAAGCATCTCAGCTGCAGTCTCAAAGGCTTATGGGGCGGTGGGCTCACTTTGGAGAAGCGGTGCGAGCAGGACGAGAACTGACGGAGCTCCACGTTGAAATCCTCATCGTTGGTGTCCTCTTCCTCCGTCTCGAGGTGGTGGTACCTCTCTGACCGAGCTGTATAAGCATGGTGGGAAATTATTCCCATGATCATTCCAAAATGTGATGCCACGCAATAACAAACCAAATAGGGAGCAACCGTTAGTCGGCTAATGAACAAACGCGAAACCTTCAAAGAACTAAGACCCCGGTGGCCTGACACTACAGACAGGAGGCAAAAAGAAGCTGATCTCAGGCTACTCGCATGTGCTCCACTAAAAAGAACCCGGCCCCCTGTTGGCCACAAACAGTCACTACATAACATACACTATATGGCCAAAAGTATTGGGACACACCTCTTGATTACTGAATTCATGTGTTTCAACATGACTGTGCCCCAGTGCATAAAGCAAGGTCCATAAAGACATAGTTGGGTGAGTTTGGTGTGGAAGAACGTGACTGGCCCACACAGAGCCCTGATCTCAAATCTATCAACCACCTTTGGGATGAATGGAAATTGTGAGCAAGGCCTTCACATTCAACTTCTGCTCTTCTGGATGAATGGGAAAAAAATCCCAGAGACACACTCCCAAATCTTGTGGAAATACTTTCCTGAAGAATGGCAACTGTTATAGCTGCAAAGGGGAGACCAACTCCATATTGATGCCCCCGGATTTAGAACGGGATGTCATAAAAGTTCCTGTAGGTGTAATGGACAGGTGTCCCAGTACTTTTGTTCATAAAGTGCATTGAATAAAAGCATTCCACATTTAGGACATGCTGAAGCAGCATGTTCTGCTAACCAGCAAAATAGGTACAATCTATTGACTATGCCTGCTTGCTAGTTACTTATTTATTTAGTGTAACAGCTGAGGGTGAGGGGGTTAGGGATCCAGGGGTTTGACATTTACAGAGGTGACCACACGGGCAGTGGGGAGACTCACTGTCGAAGTAGCTGGTGTCATCCTCTGACTCGAGCTGCGGGATGAACTCGGCCTTCTGCCTCAGCAGGCTGTTCCAGTCCAGGTTGTGGAAGAACTGATGCTGTTTGACCTCATGGGCGCCACCTGCAGGCACAATGACACATCGGTAACCCTGGCAACCATGCTGCGGGTAGAGTGCCCCCCCCCTCGCGCCTGCCACCTTGCTGGATCCTCTCAGCTTGCCCCAGACAGTCACTCCATTCCCATACATAATGCGATTTCATTTCCTGCAGGTGACCTTTATGGAAGACAGAGGCTCACGCTGGGGACAGATATGAGGGGAGGGGCTTTTGAGTCCGATTTAATGGACCATGGGGGCATATCTGGGCTCAGACACTGACAGTCCGCCATGCTTGAAATGCAGAGCAGAATAGCCTTCCTGCAGCTCTCAGCTCTCAGTGCGAGTTGGCTCTTTAAAAATGATAATCCCTTCACAGACAGAACACCATGTTTCAACCGTGACTCAATTTGTGCTAAATGGCCATTTAATACAGTAGAAACGAAAATAAAAACAGAAGAATGATAAAAATGAGTCTGCAGGGTCCTAAACACCACCAATTCGAGAAAAGACAGCTCTCAAAAGCAGATGTACTGGTGTCGAACTGGCCCACCTGTACCCATGCGTTCCAGAGGGTTCTGTCGCAGCAGTAGGGTAATGAGGTCCTGTGACTCCTGGGGCGGGGCCTCTTCCCCTTCAGGCCAGTTGATCTCATCTTGAAAGACCGGGGATCCCATGTCAGTTTATAACGACAACAACACCTTTGTTTTCAAGCACTTAAAAATGTCATCAAGCATAAATTTCATGCAGATATTTTTATATCAGACATATCTCTTGAAAATGTTCACAATTCAAATGTATTCAACTAATGTTTATTTTTAAGTATGTTTTTTCTAAAGAAATAAGCCATTTATCCTCAGAAAGATATATCAAAGTTATCACTGAACAGGAAGGCATGTTCAAACTTAACACCCCGATTGTCACGAATCACATACTGAATCTTGCAGACAGTCTAACACACGCTTTAGAGGAGAGTATAGACAGGGATCAGAGGGTGGGCTGCGGAGCCATCAGCACAATGAAACTGCTCACAGCCATGTCGCTGACAGCACCATATGTACATTTTAATCAAATCTGGAGATGAAACATGAATATGTATTTAACATCCTAGGCTTCAGCAGCTTCTCCAAGTGCGTTTGCATATCCTTAATTAATGCTCAGCTCCTTGGCTCACTAAGGGTGGTAGTGGGGAAGGGGGGGGGGGACAGACCCTAAAGATGCCAAAATGCTCCACTCCTTGTGTCTGATGGGTATGATGTCCTGCAGCACCAATAAAGACCCTGCCCAATGAGTTACGCTATTATCAGGCTCAGGGGGGATGCTAAGGGGGTGGGTGCAGCCATAAGCAAAATGTCCAATGGTGGGGGGGTGTGGATATTTGGAGGGGGTGTGTGGGTTTACATTGTAAGAATACGTCCCAGGGCGAATGAGGGGAATCCAGGGGAACAAACTGAGAAACTGCACCTGGAGACCTGCTACAGCCTGCATATGACAGAGAGGCGGTGTCCATTTCACACGCCTCTCTGAACATCCGACACACCCCATACAACTCAGAGAAATGGCAGGAAGCAACCATCCTGTGCAAATTGCAGCAACTTAGGCATCATCATTAAATAGATCTGAACCTTTACATCGGCAGTGTAATGTGAGCCTTTTTTTTTTATTCATACGAAAACAAAGTGGACGGTCAGCCACGACAAACAAGCGGGATCACATCACCACAGAGCAGCGAGGCTCACCGCTGATGACCTGGCCGAAGAGCTCCTCAGGCGTGTCCCCGAAGAAGGGCACGCAGCCCACCAGGAACTCGTACAGGATGATGCCCATGGCCCACCAGTCCACTGGCTTGCCGTAGCCCTGTCGAAGGATCACCTCGGGGGCAATGTACTCGGGCGTCCCGCACACCTGGGGCATGGGGTGGGCCGTCAGAGGGGGAGGGATACCCACACAGCTACACTCTGCACTTTCAATCAAACTTATAGCTGAAGCAGTAAATAAAAAGAGAGAGAGTAACTCCAGCAGAGACCTAGCAGGTTGCTAGATGGGCCACATCGGCCTGGAGCGGCAGAAGACTCTAAGCCAGCATAGAGGGGTTATATATGCAGTGATGGGCAGTAGCACCGCTACATGTAGCGAAGCTATTAGTTTAATTACATTTTCTAGTAGCTTGCCTGTAGCGTCGCTGATTTCTGAATCAAATAACTTTCCAGTAGTTACGTTATTTTTTTGATCAAGTAGCGACATAGGGTCCATAAAAGCTACAATTTCCAGGACATATCTGACAAAAGCAGAGGTTTCCTCTGCAGTATGATTTTGAAACGCAATAATCAGACAGAAATAAACCATGTTCATGCGCAACCTTGTAATCTGCTTCTACTGCCTGTCTATCGAAACACGCATGTGTATGGCAGTGTCATGAGATCGATACTTCAGTTTCAATTTCTGTCCAGAATGCACTGCGGCTGTCTGTGTAAGTGCTGCTGCTGCTGCACACACACACACACACACACACACACACACACAGTATAATATTTACATTACAGTATTGAATTAGTGGGCCGCCGAACCATTCTCGCAATAATTAAACGGCAAAGATAGTTGGGGGTTTAATCATCAGTTGGCGTTTATTACACCCGTACTACTATAACCCACATACTCGCACTGCCCACCGTGCACAAGTGATTATTGAGAACTATTTACAAGCTGGCATCAGTCCAACATGCCGCGCTGGCCGCCGGTGCCTCCGCGCTACAGTATTTATTTACTTATAGATTTTGCCCAAATTATGTCCTGGGTTTTAACTAAATAAATAAAAAACACAAAAACCACTTAAAAGTAATGAAAATGAATCCAGCTTTATCAATTTGATGATGCATCCAGCTTAATTATTAAAAAGTATAGATACAACACAGGGGTCCCAGCAAGTGCAGCCTGTGAAAGACTGTTCAGCGTAGGAAAGGATATTTTCAGACCAAAGAGAAACCGCCTTACTGATGCCACTTTTGAAAAGCTTCTCTTGTGCCGTGTAAACAAACACTTGTTAGAACAATAAGAGCCCAACCATGCACCATTACCCCTCTCCCCCTCACCCACCCGCCCCTCCCCTTCCATCCCATTCCCCCAGCACTAAAACATGTAATTCAGGACTTTGATTCTCATTTCAGTTTGGACCAGTTCATTTGCTGTTGTGTCAGTGATCACTCTGAGCCATTTTTATTAATCATGGTGTTGCATGTCATCAGTTTAACACGGTTCTTAAACACAAAGTTCATTTGTAACTTCAATCGACTTGTTTAATTGGGGTGTGAAGAAGTTCTCTCGTTAAGAGAGGCCCTGAGGAAATGAGATGGCTGTTAATATGGTTTTTCTTTTACCTAGAAATCTTAAAGTAGTGAAGCTTAATTTATTGTTCAGTAACTGATAGCTTAGCTCACTACACTTTACAAGTAGCTTGCCCAACACTGTATATATGCCAGGCTAGGTTTGTTATTTCTGGGGTCCCTCTCAAAAATAAATAAATCACTTTGGGGCCCCCCCTTCCATCAATGTAGTGACAATTTGTGGACAAATGCGTGGTTTAAGTACTGGAAAACAGTCCCTACAGTGTACAGGAAAGGGGGAAAGTGATTAGTTGTCATTGCTGACACACCATAGCACACAGTGTACAACGAAGAAATGTGTCCTCTGCATTTAACCCATATGTCACATTGTGACACAGCAGGAGGCAGCTAATTTAGCACCTGGCAGTGCTTGGGGGCAGTATTTTGCTCAGGGTACCTCAGTGGTACTTTGCTGGTCTAGGGATTCGAACCAGCAATGTTTCGATCACAAACGCGCATCTGCTGATGCCATGGCCACCACTGCCAGAGGACATGGGTTTAGACATAAGGACAGACATCTAAGGACACAGCATTCAGGGGGATGGCGTCAAATGTCTGAGCGAGTAAAAGACCTTCTGAGCACCTTCCACATCAATTTACCTTCTGAAAGGTTATAGGTGGACAGTCTTGGGTAAAGTGGTAAGTGACCAAGTGTGGTGAAAGTGAGATAACTGAAAGCCCCGTGAGCACCTGCTTGTCGAGAAACTCGCGGGCGTCTTTCTCGATGTGGCCCTCGTACAGGTTGGTAGTCATATTCATCAGGCCCACTTTGGACAGCCCGAAGTCAGTGAGCTTGATGTGCCCCATGGATGTCACCAGCAAACTGAAAGAGAGATATGGGTGACCCCACGGTACCTCCCCGGGGCTACAGGTCTTAACCTCCATTAGAGAATGACCAAGTTCCTAAGACACCCTCTAAAAATGACCATATGACCCTTCATTACATGTGGGAGGCAGATAAGCCATACATGAGTAGCAGTGGTGATTCGGTACCACAGGCTCAGGACCCTCCGTGACGGCGGCCCTTCTGGCCCCCTTTACTCACTTGTCTGGCTTCAGATCCCGGTGGACGATGCCGTAGTTGTGGAGGTACTCCAGGGCCAGGACAGTCTCTGCAAAGTACATCCTGGCCATGTCCACGGGCAGTGGCCCCATGTTCTTCAGTAGGGTGGCACAGTCGCCCCCTGAGGGATGCAGACAGGCACTGGCACAGTCAGGCACAGTCAGCCTAGCAAATCTTTGGAAGAGCATGACTAAGAAATCTAAAGAACAAATACTGTACTCTGTACCACTGATATTATTTAGGCACCAGGGGGCGCCGCTCGCTACCTCACCACAACCCAACCCAACGGCTCTGAATCATTTCTGGCTGTTCACTGCCTACCTTCCACATACTCCATGACCATACAGAGATGCCGGCGCGTCTCGAAGGAGCAGTACATGCTGACCACGAAGGGATTCTCGGCAAAGGTCAGGATGTCACGCTCCACAAAGGCCTGCTGGATCTGGTTCCTCAGGATCAGGTTCTGCTTGTTGATCTTTTTCATGGCGAAGCGCTGTTTAGACTCCTTGTGCCGCACCAGGTACACGGCTCTGTGGAGGTAAGGAGGCACTGTATCACAAGGCTTTGGATCTTCTCAAAGTTCAACCATAAGATGATACAGCAAGGAAATCCGCTAGCCTGATGCAACATTACTAAAAATTCACATTTTAGGCAATGTACTATACTAGGGACTAATGACGACCATCAAGGTCAAAACTAATGGCACAACATCTGGTTTTCACAGAAGGTCCACTGTTGAGATGACATATTGCCATTGAATCTGTAGAGAACCGCAAAGACCTTAAATGTTCTAGGTTTTCACTTCTAGCTGTAATTACGTATGACATCGACATCTGCTCCACCATAACTTGAGATAAAGACAACAGAAGCTTAGCCTGGGCTGAGGAACATCAACACGACAGCTAAATAAAAGTTTACCCGTATGCGCCATTGCTGATGAGTTTCATCATCTCGAAGTCGGGTTCGCAAGGCTTGCGTCGAGACCTCAAGGCGGCGCTGAGGCTCTGAGACTAAGCAGGTGAGAGAGACGGACATCAGTGCCCAGGAGCTCCACCTCACCCATAAAAAGCCATATACACAACTGATAGGAACATTTTAACAGTCCTCGTTATGCTGTGTAATTATGGAGAAATCACTCGGGGCAGCAGCTGGAGCTCTGGTTCACGTGTCCCCTGAAGGTTTCTGGGTTAGGCCCCAAAGGGGCCCTTCTGTAATCGCCATCAGCTACATGCTCGGCCTGAACTGCTCCAGTACACAGCCCAGCAAGATAAATGAGCTAAATCTACAGCACCTGCCACCCTTTGAGAATTAAAGCCGAGAATTTAGCAAAAAACATCATTTCAGCACTACTGATAAAGACGGGAGGAAAATATTCCGCGCACTGGAGAGCTTGACAGGAGCGTTTCTGAGGATTTGAGGTCACAGATGAACACTCACCGAGTCATCGGTCTCCGGGGTCTCTGCTATCCCACTGTCATAGCTGGCCAGCTGTGCGATTTCTACAAGAGACACAGTGAGGTCAGTGCCATGGGTACTGTTCCAGAGCTTTTCAGCACAAAAGCTAAGAAGGCTCAAAAAAGGGAGATCTTAGGCCATACCTTAATATCTAAACAATGCAGGCCCATTGTGGTGAGTCTCTCAACCACAAGAATGTTTTAATTAACAATGCAGTAATATGTCACAGAGGTTAACGCACAACAAAAGGCCGTAAACTGCATGCAGTCAGTCTTTAGCAAGTCAAGGGAGAATCAGCATTTTGCACTTTTTTTCTGGCACATTCCCAGCATGTAAAAGAGCTGGGTTTTCACTTTATCAACCTTATTAGATGCTGACTCGGATGCTGAGGATCAGCCCAGTGCATTTTGGACATGCCTAAGAAACCGGACATGGCAGAACTGGCCTTCTGTGAGCATCACAGACGTTGGCAAACAGGCGCGCTGGGACCAGTAATGAAGAAACGCGCACGATCAGCGAGACACGAGTCCCATCGGGGGGCTGCTGAAGAACAGCCTGGAACCGCCCCCAGGCCGAGACGACATTCACGCAATAAACATGTCATTAAGAGCCATCTGCCATCTTTGATTTCGGCTGACTTCCATACATTGGGTAAGAAAACACAAGGGCCGCTGATGAGGGAAAAAATGGAGAGACTGGCACTTGGGGACATTATCTCACGGCACTCGAACGTAACGTGTCAAGGACTCACGGGAACATGTGCGTTTCAGATTACCCATAATGCACAACCGCCTTCTGTGCGTCTGGTGGTAAACACCCGTCCCATAAAGCCAATCATGAAGGAATGCTTCATCTCAGAGATGCGACCGCTCCAGAACATCTTAGATACTACTGCCAACATTAACATCAACGAGAGTTCCACTTCAGATGTAACATCTGTTCAGCCCCTCACTGCCTGTAAAACTGCATTAGTGAATATCTGACCAATTTCCATACGAAGAACTTCACCAAGGCTGCATAATAAGCCCATTTTAATTAGCGGATGGGTCAATTTAAAACTTTTTTTTAGGTTATTATAATAGGACCTACGCAGAAAAGTGTCTGAAGTTAATTAAATTTTGAAAAATGAAGGCCAAAGCACTTCCTGTCATGACAGAGTGATTTCCATATAAGCACAGAGGTTAAATTAAAAAAATATGTATAATTTAAAAGTACAAGTGTCTGGGTTAACCTAAACTAATTGCTATATGTCTGGGGCATTTTGAAAACGGGCCCAGGAACCCGAATGAGAAATCAGCTGCCTCAAAATATCATATTGTGCGGTGTGTTTTATTTACCATTTTCAAAGAGAGATTTGAAATTGTAATTAGTGACACAGGATCAAGCAACTCAGCAATGGGCCAGGCAGACCGGGGGGACAATGAGGCACTGAGGGTCGTGCACATGCACACGTGCGACCCGGGGGTTCCCCGACAGGCCGTGACATACTCCTCACCCTCCAAAGGGTCGCGGGTGAGGCCAAGCTGGCTGATGATGTAGCGTGGGATGTCTGTCTTGATGCCCTGGCCCTCTTTGGCATGGCCCTCTGCTGCCTCCAGAAGGTAATAAAACTCCTCAGGGTCAAACTCCTACCATGGGTGGGGGGAGAAAAGGATAGTGTCACTGGGAGAAATCCAGGGGGGCGCTGCGTGCGGAGAACAATGGATGGGCGGGCCTACCAAGCACTCAAGAAGCCGTGCAGGCCTCGCGATGACAATGAGGATCTTCTTCACGAGCTCCTTGATGAAGGCCACCTCCCCGCTTTCCGAGCGCTCCGTGGACTAAACAGAGCCAGAGGGAACAAATGATGGCTGGAAACATTTCAGGGTCTCTTTGAAACGGTTACCACTGTGACAGAAACCTCTTTTCCACAAGAGCCATGCCGGTGCTGACAGGGAGCTGGTTCTCAGGTGGAGTCGAAGTGACTATGTATGTCACAGTCTTGAACATATACTTAGGAGAGCAAGCACCAGTTTCCATTTGCGTGCACCCAAAAGAAAACGTGTTGCAGTTATACTTCGGAGGCTGGCTACTGACAACGAATATAGAACAGTGGGGCCTTTCTACACTTTTTCCTTCTTGCGCCACTCAGTGAAAATTCTTTATTGTTAAAAATTTGCTAAGTACTACAAATGTAGCCAGCTTTCGCCGGTTCTAATTTAATTTCTCCATGTTTTCGGCAAATGCTAAAATCAAAACAAATTACTGGAAATAAACTGAGGCTCAGCAGAAGTTTGGAGTGTACCATAACCCCTTCCCATACACCAGTGGTTCCCAAACTGGGGGGTGCAGAGGTTTTGCGGAAGGGCGCACCAATGGGATAGCCTCAGGGGCATGTGTCACCCTAAAATAATCTCTTCACAGACTGGACGATTAAACAAGTAACGCAGCGCAACATTACAGTAACTAACAATAAATAAACCACTAACTTATGTGTACTATTAGAGCATTTATGTCATTTATTTAAGCTTTATTTTACCAGGTAAATTAACTGAAAACCAGTTCTCACTGCTTTACGTGATATTCGGGAGAAATTGCAGATAACGCATCGGAAGTTCCTGGGATACAAACGTCACGTTCTTCAGCTAATAAGGGCAAAGTTGTGTCGTCACGGAGGCGGTTCCAGTTTGTTCAGCCGGCTGAGAGGTGCTGTACGATCTGTCTTAAGTCATCTTGCTCTTGCAAGGTTTTTGTACCATGTGACATGGTGACGCATGGCGACATTTTGCAGCGCCGGACAAAAAATCTAACCATATCATGAAAAACGCGGTTTAAAATTTTCTACATGAAGTGCAGGGAGATTGTCAATTAATGGATATGATTTAGTTTTGTTTTGTTCTATAGTTTAGGCTGAAACCTGCGGTTATCATTAAAAACGAAATACGGTAATCGTAAGACAAACTTTAATTTGTGTACGCCAATGAATATTAACAGGAATGTTAAATCTGCATTTGCATAATTTCAAACTTGCAAAACTGGACTTTTATTTTTAATTGATTGCTCTTTTTTCTCCCACAGTGGTGAAATTGTACCATTTGTATTTTGTAATTGCATTTGTTTCGCTCAGTTAGAAAAGGGAGTTGTATTCAAATAAAGTTTGAATCTGAACCTGTGTAGTTTGAATGGGGGGGGGGGGGCTCAAAAATGTTCCTATCTAGAAAAGGGGGGCCCTGCAGAGAAAGTTTGGGAACCACTGCCATACGCCAACATAAGGGGTTCGCAGTTTCAGACTGGCAATTCTCTGGAGCCAAGCCAGAGCCAATTTTTCAGACATGGTACCAGTTAATTGACAGTGGAAAAGCACAGAACTGGTCCCATATCAGGCACCTGCTCAGCACCGGCACCAGCACCACGAAAAGGGATATAGGAGGCAGCTGATGGGAACCAAACCACACATAAGACACATTCATGGTTATACTGCAGGGTCAGGGTTAGACACATACAGTTATATTGTAGTGGAAATGAGAAAGGGCATCACAGGCAGGAAATGCACTCTGCCTGTATCTTTACTACAAAGAAAACATGTGAAAACATACCCCATCACCACTGGGACATGCAGAACATCGGTTCAATGACCTTTACATGATTCATTACAGTCACATGCTCATTTTCAGACGCGTCAGACATTTCAGCGACAGCGTGTGACTTTACTGCTGGTCACCAGCTGTTATCAAGGAACTGCCAGGTCACCAGGCGGTGGTGACGGACCACAGGACGGAGCTGCATCTATCGCTCAGGAAAAGGCAGTGGGAGCCCACCTCCTGGAAGAGGCGCTCCAGCTTGTCGGTGAGTTCGCAGAAGTAGCGGGAAGTGATGAGGCCTTGGCGTGACTTCTCCAGGCAGTCGCGGGCCAGCTCGATGATCTGATGGTGGGCGAAGCTAAGGACCCCGTCAGCCAGGGGCAGCACGCTCTCCGGGGAGTTGTGTAGAATGATCTCCTGGATCCTTTCCTCCATCTGAGCGGTGGCCTGGAGTAGGCCGAGATCACGAGAGCTAATTAGCAGCAAATGGCAACTTACCCGGGGTTAGGTAGCCTCTGGGGGTGTTTTTCTGCGAGCCCACATACATCATTAAGAGAGTACATGCACGAAAGGGGGCCCCCTCACCTTAGGAAACCTCTCCTTGTAGACATGGTTCATCATAATGATCTCATTGTCACAGCAAGACGGAGACCTTCCAGGGCTGAAAGGCAGAAATGATGACGATGTGCAGCAGTCGGACACGGCACTCTGTTTTAAACCACCAACGTTTCACATTGGCATCACTAAGAATGCTTGTGAATCACAGCACAAAGATAAAAGTGTAGGCACTTCAGCTAGAAATGAATGTGTAATATCCTGCCTTGCATTTTAAGGAGGATTTTTCAGTAGAGATGGATTTACAGGGGAAAAAAAATACAGATAAACAGGTTTTTAATGCTTCACATTAGAGAATAATAGTAGTAATACTAATAAACAAGCAGCACCACGGGTGGGGCGGGGCTTGCGGCTCCTACCTCAGGCTCCGAGAGCGCGGGCGCATGGGCATAGCCCTCCGCCTGTCGTCCCCGGTGATGCTTTCCGTATAGAAGTGCTTGGACAGGAAGTGCAACTCGTCTGCAGTGGGCTGGAACGGCAGCTGGTGCAGCTTCTCCTGTGATGAACAGGATGACTGGAAATGAAACGAAAATACATTGAACAAGAAAAAGAGAGACTAACGATTCAGCCGGTCACCAATGTGCAGAGAGGAGAGCGCATGTCTGGGGAGCCCGCTGCTGAGGTTCGGTGACAGACAGCTGTCTGTGGTAGGTCTCACGTCACCTCAATCATCTCACATTTCAGGGAGCCATTTCACACTGCGCTCTGACCACCAAGCTAAGTTCTCTGTCACCAACTACTTTGCACTGATGGACGCAATACATAGGTATATATACCTATACATACATACTCTTCATTACAGCGGACCATCAGTCTAAAATTAACCAATCAGCTGCCTCATTACAAAGGCAGCCTGATGTAAACTTCTGCTGAGCCTCAGTTTATTTCCAGTAATTTGTTTTGATTTTAGCATTTGCTGAAAACAGAGAAATTAAATTAGAACTGGAGAAAGCTGGCTACATTTGTAGTACGTAGCAAAATTTTAACAATAAAGAACTTTCACAAAGTGGCGCAGGATGGAAAAAGTGTAGAAAGGCCCCACTGTTCTATATTCGTTGTCAGTAGCCAGCCTCCGAAGTATAACTGCAACACGTTTACTTTTGGGTGCACGCAAATGGAAACTGGTGCTTGCTCTCCTAAGAACAGTGTTCTGTGCAAAAGTGTTCCCCTTGTATGTCTTGTAATTTTTGTCTTGTATCATGTTTGGCACCAGACCAGAATTCTGGTATTTTTGCAAATAATGGAAATGAAGTGAGCTCTGATTCTGATTTACATTTAAAGGTTTATATTTTATTTACTCAGCAGATGCTTTAATCCACAGCAACATACATTTATGAAAGAACTGTGCCAGACAGTGACAGGAGGAATTGGGGGTTAAGGCTCTTGCTCAGGGGCCTGATGGTGACATTAGTCTGATGACCCTGGGATTTGAACCAATGACCTCCCGATCACAGGCACAACACCCAAAAATCACCAAAATTAAGCCGAGAGCTAGATAGTGGGTGTGACAACAAGTATGTGCATGACTAAAACACTTTGAGTTTAATTATGTTAGCAGTAAAGACAAACCAAAACAAAGACTTTAGGGCCATGGCTGCACAAGGCTTTTCATCAAGTTGGGGCTGAAACAGTACAGAATGGGACAGTTTCTGAGCACTGCGCAGGGGCAGCGACACATGCTTAAGTGCCTTCAAGCCATGGGGCCTGAACCTCAACAGCGTGGCTCACCCAGCCGCACCATTTTTTGCATTCATTTTTGAGAATCACAGCTATATGACAGTGTGGTAGAAAAATTATAAATCAACCTCTCTGATAACAGACCCAATATGCCTCCCCTCCCGGGCCTACTAATGTCCAATTTTACTTCCACAACAGCTACATGCACGGAGCAGTACACTTACCTTAATAAACAGATTTTTATAGTACAAAAGGTTAAAATTTAAGTGATGATTGAGAAAAGGCAGCACATAAGTAATAAACCGATTTCTTAATTATTGCTCAAGCTGTCCGAACAAAGGGGAGTCGTCCCCCCCGCCTCCCCGTCCATAGATCTGTTTACCGGGCCTCTCTCTTCACTACCAGCCAGTGCGGCCGCAGACGGTGAGAACCACCCCGGCTATAGCTTGCTGAATTCCTCATCTCTGGTCGATGCTCGGAGGGTGGGTAGTGCACGGGAACTGCAAGATAAGCTCCCCGCGATCGGGCACGTGAGGACGCCCCTGCCCGCAGCCAGCTGTCACAGCGACCCTAATTACCATTCTGCTGCTAATGATCTATTTACACAGGCGGCTGTGAGCCAACCCGTTTCCAGCGTGTACCAGGTGTGCTGAAATGCAGTGAGGGGTGCACTTACCGAAACGGTGGAGCTGGGCGTGTTCGTCCCATAACCAGAGGACGGGAGTGAGGCCAGGGACCAGCGCCGGCCATCGGTCCTGGATAAAATTGAAAAAGGGAGAGTGCTAAATCAAATCAAAGAGAAAAACAGCTATTTTCAGTTAACAGGCAAAAAAAGCAAGAAATAACACATAACGCAACGGTGCCATGTAAATGGTTGCATGACACAAAACTGATTGTTCTGACCCGTAATCAGTTCATTAATAAGTTACAAAGTAACTCACAACCCCAAACATACTTAACATTCTATATACAAGGCCAAGAAAATCCACAAGCAAGATTTTCTTGCCACCAAACAAAAGACCTTATTGAACTCAAACACAGAGTGAAGATGGTGTCAGGACTGCTAAGACTCGCATGAGAGCGTGGAAGGCAAACACTTCAGACTTAGTCTGGGGTCCGCTGGTCCACGTCACACCAGAGATGGAGGTTAAACCCCTCCCCCAAAAGGATAATTAGACCCAATCATGATTTCAGTAGGAAAGAGGTTAACGGATCCCAGGAAGGATTTCTGGCCTCTGCTCTGTTTACATTAGGGTGAAGCACACAAGGAAGAGGAGGAAGACACACACGCTTACAGCATGCCTTGGTTAAGGAACACAAACTACAGCAAGAGGGTTGGCATGTTGATAAATATACATAAATATAGACTCTTGAACGCACAACAGTGGATATATCAGTGAGAGAGGTGGCAGCCATCTGATATATTCATTATTTTGTGTTTTACCTGTCAGGTCTGTGGCCATGACTGAAGAACAGCATCAGAGAAAATCGTGACGGGTAGGAGCGAAGCCGGGGGAGGGAAGAAAGGGGGTGGGGGGGGGGAGATGTGGAACTTAATCCCCAGCAGTGTGAGGGAGCGTGACCAGATGCAAACAAGACACAGGACCGCAGAAGAGCAGCGATGGGCACGACGTGATAGTTGCCTAGTTTTTATATTTTAATTTCTTTTTACATCATGGATGACAGAACTGGTCTAACACTCAAAGTGCTTCTCATTCCCATTTCAAACAACCTAATGCACCAGAAGAGCCATTTTATTCCAGCCACCAAATCCTTTGCAATGCGGGCTGAGAAATATTTGGAATCTAACATGGGACACGGAGCCATCCTTGAAAAATCTCTATGGCCGTGTACAACAATTAGCAAAACAAAAGCTGTTCTGCTTGCAAACTTTACCACACAGGTACAGATCCATTAGGGCAATGTGTGCTGTCGTATCAAGAAACATTACTGTGGTTAATCTGAAGTGTGTGGCACCATGTATCATAATGTGGGCTTCTACCATTTTGACTGGACTCAGCAGTGAACACGAGCCTACCAGAGGAAAGGAAGGAGCTCATCATGAGGAAGGCCAGCCTCTCCGCCAGTGTCTCATATGACACTTACCTGCGTGCGAAGGAGAAATGCGCAGAAGCGCTGGGCGAGAAGTTCCGGGGGCTATCCTGGGGACTGGTTCCTGTAAATAGGGGAGCAGGGGGGGAAGGGAGCGTCAGACAGAATGGCATCCTTCATCTGCATGGCTCACTATGAAAAAATATTTCTCAAGCACATTTATCTTCATGATTCTGAAAGCATTTTATTGTGTTTCACAACATTTACATATGCAGCTCATTTAATAAATGGGCAGCATGTGTACTTTGTGAATTAAAGAAAATGCGTCCTTCTTATGTGAAAAATCCTAAAACATCCTAAAACATCTCCTTCGTGGTTTTTGTGGTATATACACACCTGCAATAAATAAAGCAGATTAAGTATCAGTAATTGAAGCATTACTTTCATGACATTTACTAGCTGTTTTCCCCACATAAGCCCAGCACAACTAATGCAGGTCTTGCCATCACTGACACCCGAAGGAAAGAGTTTATTGCTAGTAAGTTCACCCTCCTAGCTCACGCATTCATAGTTACACATATGAACAGGTGATGCAATTTGTCATGTTTTACTTCTTGGACTCGTTGGCAGGGCACAGAACCAATACCTTACTGACAAACAGCAACTCAACAAGAGGCCTCCAACCAGCGATGATGTGACCAACATCTCTCCTGACTTTCATGTGGAGGTGCAGCCATTCTCCCGACTCAAGGCCTACATTTTGGAAAGACAACCTTTGAGTCTAACATTTCGCAAAAGTAACTCCCAGTAACAAATGCCACTCCGCATTACATTGCTGAAGGTGCTTCTCTCTCACATCTGTACTGCTTCTCCATACTAAAACTTTTGTATCACTAACATACACAAAAAAATAGAACAAGTAGCTTTGGCTAAACCATGAGACAGAGCAGCAACACAGCGATCATAATGAAAGTATCGACTGCAATGTATTTACAAACGAATTCAGTGTGAAATCTGACTAGCAAGACTATCCTGTGATTCAGCTAGACCAGGCAAGTGTCTCCCTCATCCACACACTGCCAGAAAAAAAAGATTTCAGAGTCTTAAACACTTTGCACAAAATCAAACTAAAACATTCATTTAATATTTCTTATGAAATGTGCTTTAAAAAGAGTCCAGAATTACAAAACACTTCTATATGGTCAAAGACCGTAATTAAGCAAAACGTTCCTGTCATTCTGACACACCCGAGCTCATTCATACACGGCAGTCAGTGTGGACTATGACCATATGAACAGCACGGCCCTCAGCAGGAGCCCACCCCGACCCCCCCCCCACACACACATCCGGCTGGTTTCTCACAAAGACGGCCCGCGACATCAGTCCCTGACACCCGCAGGATGGAAGAGGCGAGACGGCAGGAAGGAGACGCTGTGGGAACAAAAGCCCCCTCCCCGCCCCAGGCAGCTCGGCCGAGGGTGAGTGGCAGCCAACCGGCAAGCCAGGTGGCATGGATTGCGACGTGTGACCTTCGTTTGGCAAAGAAGGGCCTCGCTGTGCCTCTGCGAGTCAGCGGGCGGGTCTGTCTGCATGCCCCACAAGGCGTGGACACTCGCCGCGGTACACCCCCGCCGCTGCGGGATTCCGACTGGCAGCTCGGCTCCCAAACGCTACAGGCGTCTCCGTCTCTGCGACGAAGGGGAGCCGGCGCTCGGCCCGAGATGGAGCGTGTAATTAACTCAACTGCTGAGGGGAGGTAAACAGTTAATTAGGCCCGCCAAACAATGACAGCCCTTCCAGGCATAATAAGGGGATCCCGGCGGCGCTGATCGGCGAGGGGGCCGCTGGCTCATCAGTAATGTCACCTTTTCAACTGTGCTACAAGTAATACAAGGGTTCAAGGGGAGGGACCAGATTGAGAAGGAGGGGCATCAATGAGGGGGAGCTATAAGCTCGATCTTCAGGATTACTCAGCCGCAACGGCCACACCCAATGCTGTGTGGCTCTCCAACAAGCACCGTACCATTCCACACAGACATTACAGGCAGCTTTTAGATTATTACGAGCTGCAGATCATTTCCAAGGTGATATTTACCAAAACCTTGGGGAGACGAGGTGCGTTTGGCCTTACTAACATGGTATTTCACTTTAATGAGGGAGTAGACTTTAAGAAAAGGAACCTTCCCAAATTAGGACCTTCCTAGTTTAAGCTTCAGCTTCAAAACAGACAAAGGGGTGGGTTCAACCAAACAAAGTACACGAAGTAAAGTACTAATTTCCTAAAGCTTGTTAAAATGACTTGAGTCCTTCTAGTACTTTACAATCATAATGGATTGAAAACCTCACAGCCCTCCAACGGGAGAGCGGGATCAGTAATACCAAGAGTGGGGCAGCAAACGCTCTCTTCCTGTTCCTGACAGCAGCCGCACATCTATCCAGTGCGGAGACTGGGATCATCCAGAAAGGAAGAGCCCACAGCCGGCAAAACCAGACCAATAACAGGCCCCGCTTAACACTCCCAGTGTGGGCTTGCAAGCCGACCCTTTAGAATGTTCCAGCAAGGCAGGTAAACCCCTCATGCGCCTTGCGCAGTACTGCATGGGCAATGCAGCCAGGTCGAACTCACCACATTCCCACGGCTGCACCCGGGCTCCGAGGGGGGGTGGCGACCTGCTGGCCGCATTCAGAGTGTCACTCAGCTCCTGCTTCATTGGGGACGGTGGGTCAAAACCGTGAGCCACCGCACCTCAGCCACATTTATACAGTGAGACGCCTCCCTGCATCGCGGAGCGCCAATTCGGGAGGAAATGCTATTCGCAGGGAAGAGGGCCCCCTCCCTTTACTGCAGAACACGTGCTTCCTGCGAGGAAAGTCACAATCGCTGTTGGGCGGCGCTGAGAGGGAGATGTGGCAAGGGCATGGAGGGCTGGACTGCTATACCAGCCAATCTTGCCACACTCTGCTGGGAGAGTTTTCTCAGACTGAATGTCTCAGCTAGGGTCTACAGCTACGCAACATCCTAGGCATGACAAATGCTGTTAAAAACATTTTTCACCAGAAAGCTGATTGAGATAAAGCACTTCGTTGGGCTAAAGGTTAAACAAAGGCTACTTTTTGAAAACTAAAAGTCAAAAAGGTCACAACGGTGAGAAACGGCCCCCAGAAAAACGTCTCTCCCAGGAGATGGCCCGCTGTCAGAGGCTGACGGCTCTCAGCAAGGAGCGGCCAACTGCTTTTTCATTCAGCCAGAACAATGGCCCCTGCCGGATGAGGTGGGGGCCTGCCGTGCCAAGTCTCTCATTTCATGTAAGTACAGTAATAAGGTTCAGTAAGAGGCGTTTAAGTGACCAACACAATTAGAGATTGGGTGCTTTGACCTGACAAATAAAAACAGCTGCACAAACAGATGGGCACCAACTTACTTCTCACATCTTATTTTACTTTTAAGCCCTAAAACTAAATGGAGCTCAGAGAAGATGGACATTGTTGACATATTTGTATACGCCACAGTAACTGCCTGATTAATCAATTTCACTAAGTTCCTGTGCTTAACAAGAGAAACTGTATGAGGAAATTAAGTCTCAGCTCTGTGCCGCTGACAACAGAGAGATACGCAGAACTTGCAGCTAAATCCAAAATGCACCTACTTATTGGTGTTTACAGACAGGAGTCAAAGATGCGTCCAGACCAGAAGAGTAGAGAAGCGGGCAGCAGGTGTTAAGGAGACTTACAATCTGCACCCTTCAAGCAGAAACAGTCACAATCCACAATCATGAGTTTTAATAAGCTCCTCTGGAGTTTGAAGAACCAGAAGCAGCTGTGTCAGTCAGGCTGAAGGGGGCGCCAGTGTCCCCAGTGTTAGAACACTCACCTGTGTGTGCGGAGAGCGGCGAGTGGGGCCGCGGGAGAGCCGAGGGCTGGCTGCTTCCTATTAGGCTCTTTCTGTTGCTCGTCCGGCAGCTGCAGAAGGGAACAGAGAATTAGGTTACATTGGGGAGAACCTGAGGAGGTGCTGAGCTTGTGACACGTGTGAAACTGGGGAAAGGGGCGAAGCCTCAGTTTACAGGAGGAGCCATCGGCAAGAGAAAAACCAGCACGGGAGCGATGCATAGGAACAATGAGAAAGGGTGAAACCCCAAGTAAGGGTAGCTGTCAGCCAGGCAACCTGTAATCTCTAACTCGCAAAACAACGATACAGACAACTGCCAAAAAACTCACAAGCTGTTTTGTGCATGAGTGTGTGTGTGTGTGTGTGTGTGTATGTGTATATATATATATATTAAACATACAAACCAATTTGTTTTCTGGCACCAAACCATACATAAACCCTCACACAACCCAAGATGATAATCAGTAATTCATACTGGGCCACACGTGCTGACCACCAAGCGTCACATACTGGAAGCTACTACAGGAAGAATAAGGCAGCAACATCGAGGGTCCCGTCAAGGGTGCGATGTCAGATGCAGATGCAATGTTCTGAGTGCCTGATTGTACAGTTACACCACACATCTGGGGTGCAACCCTTCTGATTAACGTAAGCCCTTCAAACAGTAGGTGACCTTCAGCTTAATCAGCTCTCCTGCGAATAAGAGTGAGTCAGCTGCCAGTGGGAACACGCTCAGGGACACAGTCGCTCTAAACCACGTCGGCCGTGAGGGGAGATCACAGATTCCTACAAGGACACCAGGGGCTGATCCCGGGAGACACGGCTCATGCTGATCTGCACCTTTCGGCGTTTCAGCACAGCGCTCGGGCTAAATAAAAAGGCGACCTCATTACAGCAGCACACGTTAATCTAAGCATCCTGCTGCAAATGCTTCTATGGGAACTGGCATCTCTACAATGCCATTTCATCAAAGGGCCCCGAGAACCAAAATTGGCGGACAGGTCTCCATCTCTTCACTCAGCAGACACACAAAACGTGACACTATACAACGCTGGCGGTCAAGCTACCACAATGAGATGATCTAAAACTACAACACAGCTCACTCGTAAGACTTTTTAGTCCTTACCGTCTGCCAGTCTTTCTCCATAGCCTGTAACTCTTCTGGTTTAGGTACTGCATTATTTACAATGCATCCTCAGAACTCAGACATGTCACATTCACAGCCCAGGGTCAGCCGGTAGGTACGGGTCAGGATCTCCCCAGGTCTGCTATAATCAGACCACAGCTACAGATGTCTCTAGAGTGCTCGGTAATGACTGAAGAGCGGAGGGGCTATCCCAGCATGCACTGAAGGACAGGCGAAGTGTGCTTCTGTGCTGACATACTTACTGCTTACAAAACAGATCCTCTTACTGAAAGGTAAAGCCTCTTCACCAGAAACAGCTGCTCTAAATATTCTCAGTTACCTTAGGCAAGGAGGTATCTTGAAATTTTTCACTTTGTTACAACCTGAACGTCCAACAGAAACTTTGACGTGTAACACACACATACTTATAAACCCAGCATACATATACAGTGACATAGATGCATAGATTTTCAAAGGACATCTTCATATAAATAAGCAATGAAGTCTGTGGGGGTTTCCGCCTGTTTCCGTCTGTTCTTTTTCCATTGTGCATGCTGTGCAACTGGATATGTAGGAAATGGTTGTAAAAGAAAATACATTTGATATGGTATATGGATGGAATTCCCAAAAAATGAATGAAGCAGTGGAATATACACCTGGGGAGGAAATTGGGAGAGAATACCAGACCTCCTGCTTTACAGTGTCCCATTCCTCAGGCTGTGGTTTTCCCATAAAACCCTCCAGTGTCACACATGACGTCAGCGGACAAAACTTTGACCGTGGCTGGATCTCTCTAATTCGCATACTGGTCTCCTATAACCCAGACACCTGATGCGGTTCTTACCACGCCCCAATGATGCTCTCGCTAATTCCCAGCCGACCCACCCACGTAGCTCTGTGGAGACACTGCCACTGCCAGGCGTGCCAAATGGGATCTCGGGTTTCTAATGAGCCCATTCCATCAAGCAGCCCAAGCTGAAGGTTTGTGCATATCCTTTATATATCGATAAATAAAAATGACAGTTAAAGTAATTTTTTTTTTTAAATGGTCCATTGATCTTATAAGCTTCGAACAAGTTTAGGCAGTAAGGTTTCGTCACAATAATAAAACAAAACACATTACTTAAAAATAAAGCTGTGAGTTTAAAACTGAAATGTAGAGTTTTAGCTGTCAGTAATAGCTACACAGCAATAGCTATTGTACCCAAAATACTAGAGCACACACAGAGCTTGCAGCCTGATGAGGGATCCAATGTGGGACGGCATGCGACCATCTCCCTTGTCATCCTGAACCTTGTTAACCAGATTCCTGTTCCCTGTTCCCCCCCCGACCCCCGTGCAAATGAAGAGAAAGGAGCTCACCATTACACAAAACAACGAATCCCATAGAAGTAGATCCACTCATACAAATTACGAACAGTCATTCGCTGTCAGGAAAACTTCACAAGGCACAAACTACTTAATCACAAATAACATCTATATGCTGTGTACTCCTGGAACTTTCCATGGTTACCATTTTAAGCAACGGCTTCTGACTTGTGCATGACAGCACAAGAAATTCCTTTGGACATCAGTTAACACAACTTAAATAGTCAGGCTGTCACATCTTTGTGTTCCCAAGAACTGCAAAACATCCTGAAATGGCTCATCTGGATTTTAAAGCAAAGTGACCTTACTGTCAGCACACAAGCACTACATTAACTTTTCAGAGCTAGGATGACATCACCAAATCATCAGCTGTCAAAAACTGCTTCCAAAAGGCCTGGGAAATGATATAAACTATTAGCAAAGAGGACACAGGGCAGATTTTAAACTTTACTGTCTATAAAAACTCCCACTTCTGTCATATTTCTGGCTGGCACTGACAACATAACTGTGCACGACATCATCCAAATCTGTGGTTCTTTTTGTGTTTAATATGAGGCTACATTACACAGAGGGATTTTCAAATAAGGGACTCTAAAGCAGAATCGACAGGATTCTTTTGCATGGTATTAAGTTGCTGTTTTTAGCTAATCCCATTTCACAAGACAAAGCAGATCAACTACCAAAAATACGCATGAAAGAATGCTAGAACCTCAAGTCTGATATTCCATAAAAACATTAAACATCTCCGAAATTGTACTGAATCAAAAGCGGAGAAGTGAAAACAAGGTAAAAGAAGAAGCTGATTTTTCCCTGAGATGGCCAGTGAATGGAGCTGAATTGTAAATGAAACATCGCTGGAGCCAGGAGCTGTTCCTCACAGCTTGTACTGTGCCCGAATCCCGCCGAAGAGAATAAAGCAAAGTGACAAACACTCAGCGCCCGGGAACAGCTCCAGAGCCCCGAGAGGAGCAGAGGCGGGCGATTGGAGCCGCCCGCCCGTTTGCTCGCCCGCCATTGCCTTGGGTGCTTTCGGCAACTCCGACTGGCATCAGCTCCTACCCCTGGCAAATCCCGTCCCCAGGCCGTCAGCGAGGCACAATGACGACGGCCGATCAAAGCGGGAAACGTCTGTGAGCCGGTTCCACTAAGACGAGAGCAGCGGATCTAATTCCTTCTAATTTCGAGTTCTTGAGCATTACATAACCCCAGCATGGACCGAAATATGGGACGCAGGATAAGACGGCTGTAATATTAGAGGGATGATATTCCAGTGGAAAAGGAGGCAGAAGAATACAGGCATTTGTCAAAAATTTGCAGATGAACACATTTTCTGTTAAAAAACACCAAAGAACATCATGAATAATTAAAATACCCAGTTCAAACATGGTAAGCATAGCACCTAAAACAGCTCACCCATACTGCTTACTAATAACTAGTACATTGATAGAAAATGGTAGAATTTATTTAAACGCCAGGCGATGTTTGCCCGAGGTCATGGCTGAGACCTTGCTGTGGGTCCCACATTGGCTCTGGTGACTCATATGAAAAGTCTGGTCTTCAGACAGACTCCATGTAAGGCACAGTTAGCTGAGCTGTCTGTGTGAGTCAAGCATCCTTTATAGACAAAATAGACAAACAAGCAGCAGTATCTCCCATCAAATGCACACATTAAAAACAGGCCATCTGTCTGCGCTGGTTTCCTCCCGTTATTCTCGTCTCCGCAATGCAATCAGACTGCTCTGGACTGTCCGACGTGTGTGGGTGCCCTGCGATGGACTGGAATCCCGTCCAGAGTATCCTCTTCCCAGTGATTCCAAGGATAGACTCTAGGCTCACTGTGACTCTGCAGTGACCAGATCAACAAAAACATTGATAATGTCTGAAAGCACACTGGCCTGAAAATACCTACGGATCCTCTACACCAAACAATCCTGAGAATTTCCTTTCAGAAAATGAACACTCTAGCATTATTTCTTCAGTGAGCGTGAAAAGACCATCATGAAGTTTCACTGCTGGTCCCAGTTGCTCAGTGATGAGGTTTTATTCTTCCCAGAATGCTTTTAAAGTGACTGGAGAGCCTCATAACCAGAGTGTGTGTGTAGCTTTACACAGACAGCAGGTGCCTTAAAGCAGCCTATGGCGGCTTGATGATGGGTTACCGATTGAGGAGCAAGATTCATACTCCTTATTAATGCTGCCCTAGTTAACTTCAGCAACTTCATAGAAAAGACTGAATATGAAACCCATCACACACTGAACACTTTTACCGTATTATGACATTTTCATCCCAGTTTGGTAAAACCACATCTGACCAAGGTGATAGAGCACAATGACACCTTTCTATACCACCTGCATTATACTGGACTTGTAAATTCACCTCAATTTCATTATAGCTTCTTCAACATGATTAGAATGGTGCAGTGTGACTGGAAAAATCATACATATTAATGATTTAGGTCACCTGCTTAGGCTCATGGACCAAAATTCTTGATGGCATAGTAAGTTCCCACTTGGCAAACGAGACGGACGCATTACGATACTTCAGATAGAGACGGTTCCTTAGGAAGTTCTGTGATT